GACCACGCCTCCCCGCCCGCCCACCGAATACCGGTTCAAACGTATTCAGTGGCCCATGGGGCTGCACCCAAAAATATGTACAAAAAAATTAAAAAAACAAAAAAAAAAAAACGAAACCACTTGAAAAACTTTGCAATCAACGCGGCGCACTGATTACAATGCCCGAGCAGCGCTGCCAATGTCGACGTCAGCGCAGGACGAGCGAGTGGGTTAGAGGGCGGGGCAAGGGTAAGGTACCTGCATAAATGTGCAATGTGCGTGGAGTTGGCAGTAGTCAAAGTGCGGGCACACACACACACACAAGCACACACAAACATACACAAGCACACACACACACACGCACACAGAGACATACAATGCAATATATTTTCGCTTTGGCATTTGTTGCGTTTCGAGATGTTTGCTTGCACTGCAATGTATTTTGGCTCTGTGTGTGTGTGTGTGTGTGTGTGTGTGTGTGTGATTGACAGTTGCCCCATTGATAAGGGCATGCGCTGATGGTGGCGAGGGGGGGGGGAAGCGGGCCTGCTGCGAGTGAGTCGTTTCATATTTTTTATAATTAAAATGCCGGCTGCCTAAATGCAGTCAAAAGTTATGCGAGTCCGAAAAAAAAACAACAATAAAAAAAAACCGCAAAAAAATGATACGCATACGCAGCTAAACAACAACAGAGAAGGGCAGAGCGGGGGGGGGGGGGTGGGGGGAGTATGAACGACGACGATGACGCTGCATAAAATGCAAGCGCAGCGACAGTTGAGAGGCGGCCCAAAGGTATGCTACGAAAAAAAAATTGTATAAAAGCTACAGCAACAACAAGAAGAAGAACAACAACAACAACAACGACGACGACGTCGACGACGACGACGCAGGCAGCGACCAGGCAAATGAAAATGTGAAGGCGATGTGATGTAGAAGGAGAAGGAGAAGCTGCATAAGCACAAAAGCAGCAGCAGCTGCACGCTAGAGCGAGACAGACAGAGAGAGACAGAGAGAGAGAGAGAGAGAGAGAGACAGAGAGAGAGGGAGAGGGGGCGCAGCAAGGCTGACGCGTTGGTAAGTGAGTGAGTGGAAGAGGCTTACAGAGAGAAAAAATATTTAAAAAAAAATAAGATATTTGTTTCAAAATAAATACGCACGTGTATATGTGTATATGTGTGACTGCAGTCTCTCTGTGTACATCTGTGTGTGTGTGTGTGTGTGTGTGGTGTGCGCTTCAGGTAAAATGAATGCAAAGCGTAAAAGAAAGCAAAAGTTGTGGCTGCGTTGATTTTGTCTCTTTGCGCTTTTGTGCCGTTATTATTTTTATTATTCTTATAATTTCTAGACGTTCCCAAGCACAAGGGGGAGCGGGAGCGAGCGCAGGGCAAAGAACGGCAACAAAAACGAAAACAAAACCAAAAACCAAAAAAAAAAAAGGAAAGTGTAAAAGCAAAAGTATTTATGTTGCGGCTGGCTCAGGTCTGCAGCAATGCCAAGAGTCGAAGCGGCAAATTGCATGTGACACACGCACGCACACACAGACACACACACACACACACACACAGGGCAGCCATTTGAATGTGTATGCGTGCGTGTGTCAGCGTCAATGTCCGACAACGACTCCAGACGCGCGTGTGTGCTGCCTGCTACCTTTTTATGTGAGCATTCTTTTACTTTTTTTTTTTGCTATTTTTTTTTGGTTTTTGTTTTTTAGATAAAATTTTATTTGAATTTATGCACATGAGCAGTTGTGTGTGTGTGTGTGTGCGTGTGTGTGTGTGGCACGAATGCGCTACGCAAAGTTTTTGAGACATAAGAGGCTTTAGCTGAAGCTTGTCGTTTTGGCGCTTGGCTTAAAGACTTCCACAAAAGTGACTCAACGATGTTCGATAACAAAGCGGTTATCGATACATTTTGAGTTCGATATTTCTGGATATTGTTAGAAAAGATTTTCCAATTGGCATATTTGAAAATTCAATGGTCACAACAAATATTTATCGTTATCGATAACCGGCGAACGTTTGTAGCGCCATCTATCGGCTTGACTAGTCGCATCTGACGTCTGGTTTAACTTTCTGAATGCATTTTTAGCAGCTTGCAACGTTTGTTGCGTTGCGTTGCGTTGCGTTGCGTTGGGCTCGCGCACACAGGACGTTATCCTCGGTGTGTTTTCGTGCAGCATCCGCCCCTGCCCCTGCACCTGCCCGTGCTCTGGCCCGTGCCCCTTGCCCCACACTTGGCTGACTGTGCGTCGCTTAAATTCGTCAAGCGTTGCAACAAAGTGCGTTTTGTACTTTTTCTTTGCACTGGTGACGTCGTCATCGTTGTCGTTGTTTGACGAGAGCACGACGAAAAAAAGTACATGTGGAAGAGGATTCGCAGCACACATACACACACACACACACACACGCATACGCAGGAGCAGAGCCAAGAAATATAATAAAAACGACAGCAGCGACTATTTGTTGTTTTTGTTTTTTGCTGCTTGTTCGCAAAAAAAAGGGCAGAAGCGTCGACATTTCAGCAATGAGGGGGGTTTGGAAGAGGCGAAGGGGGGGGGGGGCCCGAAAAAAGGAACAACATAAACACAAAAATAGGAGAAAAACAAGAAAATGTAATGTGAAAATATAAATTTGCCGGAAGCTAAATGTTTTGCCAGTTTTTATGCAGTCGCCGCGACACAGCGCTGCTTACGCTATCCTTCAAAATCGCAAGTACAGTTGCGTTCGCTGCGCCTAAATGCGAACTTCAAGCGTTTCCACTGGCTGCCCAAATGTTGAAATTGGCAAAAATGAAAAAATATCCGGCGAGCAGCTGATTTCGTTCAAAGACTCGAGTTTCCACATCGGCAAGTCAATAGAAATATTCAAATTGAAATATTGTAATGTGTTTTTGTTAATTATTTTCATTTGTTTTTCATTTTCCTATGTTTGCATTTTGTATTGTTGCGCACTTGTGTAATAAATTATGTGCTTGCAACAACAAAAATAGAACAAACGAAATATTCGAAACACGAAACGACAAAACGATGCAAGTGCCCAAATATGAAAGTTCAACATATGTGCGACTCTCTATGCGCTTCTCACAATGCAAGGTGAGGTTAGGTTGAACTGAATTCAGTTCTGCTGGAACAGTCCGATTTGAGAATCACCTTAGGAGCCTAACAGTATGTTCAAAAGTTTCGAATAAATTTGAAAATAAAATTGAATAAGCTTCGAGGAATCATACAGCAACCAGATGTTCTTATTGCTTTGCCAGAGCATAGGGTACATGCCAAATTGGATCAGGTAGAGCAGGCTGGTTGCCGGTTGCCATATTGAAAATTATGGTGTCGTAAACATGCAACTGCAACAGCCACGAACAACAGGGAGTGGAGTGGAAGCGGCGACGGGGTCGTAGTAAAAAATTAAATTAAAATAGAAAACAAACTCAGCATGGTCAGCAAATAAATAAAAAATGGCCAGGCCAAAAAACATGGCCAAAGCAAAATAGAAGCGAATTGCAAGCGGAAATTGCTAGCAATGTTGTGCGAGTGTGTGCGAGTGTGTGTGTGTGAGAGTGTGAGTGTGTGTGTAAAGTAACAAAATCCGCTTGCCACACAGAAAATAAAAAGAAGAAAGAAAAAAACAACTACATTAGGAACCAATGCAAACTAAACTGAAACGCAAAAAGAATATACAAAAAGTAGGAAGAAAATAGAAAAAGAAATGACATTTAGCTGTGCGAAAACTTATTGCACAGAGTGTTTACTGTAGTGTGTGTGTATACATATATATATATACATATATATGTAAGTATATTTTACATTGTGTAACAATACAGACTTGTGTGCGTGTGTGTGTGATAGAGATAGCGAAATTACGTATACGAGTAAACGAGCGTGTAAAAGAGAGCGCACTACACATGGAAACACAACAACAACAACAACAACGAAAAAAGGAAAAAAATATATATAAGTATATATAGATATATAGACGTATACAAAGAGAACTTCAACTGAACAACTAACAATAGAAATATATATATATATATATATATATATGTATATATATGTATATCTTATTTGTTTATGGTATTTTTTTTTGTTGGTTATGTAAGCTTTACTTGTTAAAAAATACTTTGTTTGGTATATACGAGTATTAATTGAAAAAAAGAAGGTATATAAATATATTGGATATATATATGTATAGGTTAAGTAAATATAAATATATATATATATATATATATGTATATACGATTATATATATATATATATTTATATATATATATATATGTATATATATAGGTATATATAAAATTCATAGACAAAGAACACGACGAAGAGCAAAAACATGTGTTGAGTTTTTTGATTTGTTTTCTTTGCTTAGATTTGGTAATGTTTTTTTTTTTTGGTTTTTTAAATTCTGGATACATAATATAATTTTGATATATATAAATATGCAATGTATATAAATGGCAGGTATATAGACGACAGACAGAGAGAGAGAGAGAGAGAGAGAGAGAGAGAGGGGGGGGGGAGATAAAGCAAATTGAATACGTAATATTGTGTTGAAGTTAAAAGTTGAACAGAGAATTTGAGTATTTTGAATATTGACTTTTAAATTGAGGGAAAAAACAAATAGTTAAAAAGAGGGAGAGAGAGAGAGAGAGAGAGAGACAGAGCGAGTAGCCATATAGGGGGTGTGTATTATGGGGGCAATAATTACGTATTATCTATAGATAGTTAGCATTCTATCCAGATGGTATGGTCAATTTTTGGCTCAGATTGCTCTGAGAGAGAGATTTTTGGTTTCAGTACGAATTTGTTTGTTTGTTTTTTATGTTTTTTAAAGACCTATCGAAGCAGCAAAAGCATTCACTGAATGGATTTGGAAAGGGGTTAAGGGTTAAGGGTTACGGGCTACGGATTATGTTTTCGTCTGGTCTGTGTGAGACGGGGGCTTACGGGTATTTGGGGTTGGGGTTGGGGGGTTTGGCTGGATGGCTGGGTTTTGCTGGAGATTCGGTTATTCAACACTTACCGACTCGTGCGAGGCGCGGTAGTCAAGGTCGCCGCCCAGTCCGCCGCCAGCTGATGCCGAACGCGGTTGCATGTGTCTACTGTGACTGCTGTTATCATCCTCACTGCAATCGATCTCTTTCTTGAGGCTCTGCAAAGACGAAAAATAAATGAATATTCATATTTAAGTTACAGCTAAAATTGTGGAAGAAATGTAGCTATGCAAATATGTAACATATTTTTTACAGAGAGCTGTAAGAACTATGCAAAAGTAGTTCTCAACTACTTTTTAGGGGTCATAAGACATGATAACATAATAATTTAACATTAAGTTAATAATGTAAATAGTCTAACATTGTTACAATATCAGAGTAAAGCAGTTCGCACATGAACATTTACAGCGTAATGTTAACAGAATCTTGATAACAGAGTGCAGTTAAGAGAGTTAAGAGAACTGTAAGTGTTTAACAGTAAGTTAATAATGTTAATAGTCAAAGTAAACAGTGTGAAGCAGATTAAAATTAACAGGGCAACGTTTGAAAGTTAACATTAACAGCATAAAGTTAACAGTTTGGCTTTAACAGTATGTTGATAGCAGGGTGAAATTAAGAGAATAAAGAGAACTGTATGTTTACAATGCATATTTGAATGCACAAATTTGAACACGAAACGCTGCGTGCACTGTTAAGCACACAATGGGTATTACGGGGTGACCTGGCTAGCGGGTAACTGGGGGAAAGACTTACCAATGGCACCGATTGCACTGGCAAGAGACCGGCTACGGAGCCGGGATTCATTAGGCTGCTGGAGCGTCCGTCGGCGACGTTGCTGCCGTCGCGGGATGAACGCGACGCTGGATGCCCCGACTGTGCCATCGATAGACTTAGATCGGAGGCGCCGGCGCCGGGCGTGGAGCGGGCCGATTCCATAGCGGCCGCTGCGGCGGCTGCGGCTGCCGCGGCTGCTGCTGCCGACGATGAGGGCATGGTCATCAGCGGCGATGGTATAACGGTGGAGCCCGTGGAGAGATCGACACCGCCGCTGCTCATCTTCATGTTGAGGCCCATATCGTTGCTGCTGTTGTCCGCCTCATCGTCATCGTCCAGATCCATTTCGTCGTCGTATTCGTCGTCGAGCACTTCGGTCTTCGGCTGCAGACCGCCGACAACAACGCCGCCTGGCGAGTGCAGCAGCGTCTCGTGCGCCGCCGGCAGCTCCATATCATCATCCTCTTCGTCGTCCTCATCCTCGTCCTCGCCATGCGCCCGCCGCGCGCTATGATGCGCGATGCGTTGCGCAATATCACGCGCTGCTGCTGCTGCTGCCGCGCTGGAGCGATCCACAACAACCACATGCTCGTCGGTATCATCCATATCATTGTCGTTGTCGTTCGGCTCATCGTCATCGTCATCATCGTCGACGGCCACGACATGGCTGCTCGGCTCGGGCGTTGCGTTTGCGGCGCAGTCGCCGTTGCTGCCGCTGGGTGATCCTGCGGTTGAGGAGGAGCATGTGGCCTTCATTTGGTTGTTGCTGCTGCTGTTGTTATTGTTGTTGTTGTTGCTGCTGTTGTTGTTGTTGTGGCTGTTGTTGTTGTTGTTGCTATTGCTGCTGCTGTTGTTGTTATTGTTGTTGTTGTTGTTGTTGTTGTGGCTGCTCGCGGCGCTCTCTGGCGGCATAGCCTGTGGCTCAGCGGACGCGACGGCGGGTCTTTGATAGAGATCTAGCGGCATAGGTGTTTCCTCCTCCAGCTCCTCCTCCAGCAGCTCTTCCTCCTCCTCATCATCATCATCATCGTCATCCTCATCGTCCTCATCCTCCAGCAGCTCAATGGCCGCTGTGCTGCTGCTCGCTGGCCGCTTCGGCGGCGTTGGGCTGCAGCGTTCGCTTGCCTCACGCTTTGACGCTGACGTCGCCGACGCCGACGCCTCAGTCGCTGAGGTCGCTGGCGTTGAGCCCGATCCGGCTGTTGTTGCTGTGGTTGTTGTTGTTGCTGCTGTTGCTGTTGTTGCTGCTGTTGTTGTTGCCGCTCCTGCTGCCGCTGCTGCTGCTGCTGCTGCTGTACTGCTGCTTGTGGAAGCAGCTGCTGTCGCTATGTTGTCCGCAGCTGCTGCCGCTGCCGCTGCCGCCGCTGCTGCTGCTGCTGTTGTCGCTGTTGTTGAGCTGGGTGCGGACGCTGCTGCTGTGGCATCCAGGGCCGCAGCCGCTGGACTGTCGGCCGCCTTGCTGGCGCCTGCGCCGCCGCTGGCCTGCGAATGGGGACGCAGACGATCCGGTTCCCGTTCGGGCTCCCGCAGCGTCGTATTCTGATTTGTCATCTCGGCTAGGCCTTTAACCTGTATGAAGGACATCCGATTAGGGTCAAGTGGATCCAATTGGAGCCCACAAGTGGGCCAGTACTCACCTTGAGTGATTCGGCCGTCTTGAGCAGCGCTGGCAACTGACAATATTGCACGTTCACTTCGCCCTTGTACATGAATTCAACTAGAGTTTGCAGCTCGGCAAAACGGACGTCCTTCAGTATCACAATTGGATGTGGATCGGAGTGCTGCAGAAACAGGCTCTGGAAATACGAGGAGCAGGCCGAGAGGACCACCTGTAATGCAATAAAATAAAACGAAACCACTTAACAAAACATATTTTTATGCAAAAGAAATTAAGTGCGCATTCGCGACAAATTTGACTGGTAAAGTTCATTGTAAATATAAATTTGACTAATAATGTTCATTGTAAATGAAAATTCGACTGGTAAGGCGGATTGTTAATGAAAGTTAGAATGGTTAAGTTCATTGTAAATACATATTTGATTAACAAAGTCCATTGTAAATGAAAATTTGATTGGCAAAGTTCATTGTAAGTGAAAATTGGACAGGTCAGGTTCATTCTAAATGACTGGTAAAGTTTGTTGTACATTGCAAATTTAAATTTGACTTGTCAAGTTCATTGTAATTACAAATGTTACTAATAAAGTTCATTGTAATATAACAGTTGACTGGTAAAGTTCATGGTAGAAGAATATGTGACTGATAAAGTTTATTGGTCTGGAAAATGCATTTTTAGACGTACAATTGCCATTATTTTGCCATTGACATAATTTATATACTTTTTTGCCATATCGTCTATTTTAATTTCAAATATGATACATTCCTTTTAATTGAATATTTTTAGCAAAATCTATCCTTTATTATTTTCGGAATTTAACAAAACTATACAAAACTCTCCTCTACTCCATAATAAAGGATCTTCTCATAACTTTCTCAACACTGTTCTTGATTTCATGGAACATTTTCTTATTTTGCGTTAAAATAAATATAAAATTAACTTGCCGATATAGAAATGAGTACCATTATGGTCCTGACTTACTCTCAAGGCTTTGGCATCGTAACTTTTATTGAATTGTGAACATTAAATTGTTTCAAATGGAATTGCAAATCTTTAAATTCAGTTGCAACATTCAAATAAATATAAACCACCTGCTTAAATGATCTTCTGAGCATGAGCTGAGGCTTATCGATAAAGTATATCGATTGGACATTAGAAAGCAACTCGAATGCTGGCATCCAACTCCAAGGCGCGTCTATGCTGAGAGGGGATGGGAGGGGGGGGGGGGGGGGGGAAGCGGGGGTTTAAAAATTTATTAGATTTACGATCAGCGTGGGGCAACACGGCTCCGCTTTGAAGATGCAGCCACAACTGAGGCCAACTGGTCAACTGGCTGCGATGGCTGCGGGCGTCAAGGCGTGAACACGCCACGAATGACAATGCGCTGCCAGCAACTGGCGGCAACTGGAATGGGAGCAACGGCAACGGCAACAGCAACGGCAACGGCAACTGCAACAGGAACAACAACAACAACGACAACAACAATCTGGCCGCATATCTGTCGATTTTTATGTGCGCTTGCACGCCTTGGGGTATGCAACGCAGCTGGGGCAGCAGCTCGCAGGGGATGCAGCAACAGGCATTGCGTAGCAGAGCCTCCGACTGGGCTGGGCTGGGCTGGGTTGGGGTGCGGTGGTCTGTCTGATGGGGAATGTTGTAAATTTTCATGGCTTGGCAAATTGAAAAGGCGTCGGCCTCGCATTTCGCATTTCGCATTTCGCATATAGATTCGGCCGACTGCCTAATGAGCTTTTGGCTGTTGGCCGCTAGCCACGTTCGGCCACGTTTGGCCACGTTTGGCCACGTTTGGGCAGATGCCGGCCTGTGAGATCCAGTTGCTATGCCGTACCCCTTCCACCCACTCTCTGTCTCGCTCTCTCGCACCGACCTCATGCCAGGGCCTGTCACGCGCCCCGTTTGCGCGAGAATTTATTTAAAAAAATGCAATCGGCGTGCACACGCCCCCAAACGCAAAAGCCTGAACCAAAATGAGCGCTAATAAATTCACGCGCATATTAGTGGGGCGCATCGGGTTTGGGGCAGCGGCTTCGGCCCGTATCTTTCGCTCTCTGCACAGAAAAGCAAAAAGAAAAGAGTCTACGAGTCTGGCATTAAGAAAATCGAATTTCCTGATTACAACAGGCAGCAGGCAGCAACAGGCAGGCAGCAGGCAGGCAGCAGGCAGGCAGCTGGGAGCTGGGAGCTTTGGAAGGAGGCGCTGTCCGAGCGGCGCAAATTGGCAACACTTTTAATTGAACGCCGCTGTCGACGTCGCTGCAACTGCCGCTGCCGCTGCCGCTGGCGCTGCTGCTGTTATTATTAACATTGCGGGCATAACGCCCCCAAAGCTAATGAACGCCAAAGGCTTTGATTTCTAACGCCAGGCGCAGTTAGAAAATGTTGCATGTAATTTGCAGCCAAATAGTCAACAACATAAATTGCAATAGATTACGTGAGCATAAGGAGGCAGAATGTGGAGGAGCTGGGGGGTAGGGTGGGGTGGGGTGGGGTGGATCAAGTATTGCTTATAGATTGCGTGTCTATATGTGGGCGTTGCCACACTTTCCCATTTCGGTTCATATATAAATCGTCAACAAATTTAAATGAAATTACAAAAGGCAGCCAACGCCTCTGAGCTGCACGTTAAATCAAAGCAAATGAACTGGAACTGGAACGGGAACGGGAACGGGAACGGGAATGGGAATGGGAATGGGAACTGGTACAGGAACTGTAATTGGAACTGGCTACTGCAATTGCCAACAGTTGTTTTCAGTCGTGTGTGTGTGTGCGTGTGTGTGTACGCACAACCATAAATCAATGTGGAAAACTGTTCCAAGGGCAGCTGCTGTCGGCCTTTAACTAGCCAGGCGCTAGCCAGAAAAACTTTGAGCCAGACTTTGAGCCAGACTTTAAGCCTTTTACATCTACTGCAACTGCTGTGATTTCTACTGCTACTGTTACTGCGGCTTTGCCCGAACTTGGTCTAAAGAAATGATCGTGTGTTGAGGACAAATTCGTAAAAGCAAATACAAACATGTCGAATTACAATAATATCTAAATATATGTAATATAATATAAGATAATATAATACAATATAATATAACTATATAAATATATATGAAATATATAAGTAAAACTAAAAAACTCATTTGAATACATATGTATAAATATAAAAGTATAACTATATAGCTAAGTATAAAATATATTAAATATCTCAGAGTATTTAATAACTAAAGTATACTAACTAGCTGAATAACTAAACTAACTAACTAAGATTAATTTAAATTAAAGCTATATAGCTAGATTAAGTTATTAAAATATAAGCAGATATATCTGACAAATAAATAATTAAAAAAATTCAAAAAAAAATAAATATAAAAATTTAATAAAAAATCGAATTCTTAAACTCTTTCTTTTAGATACTTTAAAACACCGAAAAGATTTTCTTTTCTATTTTGTGTTTGCTTCGTTTAACATTTGACAACACAGTAGAGCACAGTAGAAAGCGTTTTGCAACACTAAAAACTAAATTACCTTATGTCTGCGCTGTAGCTTTTGATTGAATTTAATTAAATTTAAATGAATTTCAAAAACTTAAATCTTTATCTTTACTTTCAAGAAATAAATAAACTAGATAATTGAAATGAAATAATTTGTATAAGAGTTTGTGAATTTTATTTCTGTGATAAAAAACAATGAAAATAAAATAAATAAATAAATACAAAAATAAAAATTACAAGCTAAGATCGTTAAAAATAATTGATATCGAACGATCTAAAAAAGCCACAAGGCTGCGCTCCCAATTGCACGTTTTGGGAAAATCAATAAAAAAGTCAAATATGCTGCAATTTGTGCAATAATTACAAGAATATTTGCCAAAGAGCCAGCTGAATGCAAATTACAGAAATTAGCGCACATTACAAGTGCGGGAGAGCAGCCCTCAAGAGGCAAGAGATACCCAATAAAAAACATAATAATAATAATAATAATAATAATACTAATAATAAGAACAACAACAACAACAACAACAAGAACTAGGTAAAAAGAAAAGCTAATAACCATGTCTGCCACAGCCGCAAATTGTGCGGATCAGCCCGAGGAGCAGCCGAAACCTGGCTGGGCACAAGGCGGGGCCACAGGTGGGTGCAGTTCGGCGGCGGCGGCGGCGGCGGCTGTTGGGGCAGTAGCATCAGGCAGGCAGCATCAAAAGGCTGCAACTGCAGCTGCAGCTTAAATTATATTAAGACATAAATGTGGCCAGATCAGTGGCAAGCGGCATGCGGCATGCGGCATGGGGCATAGACTGCGCGTTGCACTTGGCAGTTGCAAGTTTGCGGTGGCCCTCTGCTGGGCACAGAGCGCAGAAATAGCAACGGCAACAACAATGTAAAGTGCCGCAAGCGGCAAGGCAAAATTGCTGCAACAACAACCAAAGCAACAACAACCAAAACAACAAGAACAACAACAACGGGGAAATCTATGCACATATATAGCGCAGGCGATATGCAAACATAATAATTTGCATATTTCGCCGCAGTGTTTTGGCGACCCAACTCGGCTCTGATGGTGGTCAAGAAGCGGCAGCAACATCAGCAACAACAACAACATCAGCAACAGCAACAGCAACAACAACAACAACCAGAATACTTTCAGGGAGTGGCCATAATAGAAATGTTAACCTTTTGCAGCAGCGCCTCAGCGACCCGGCGTCTCTGTTTTTTTTTTATCTTATTTTAAACTTTTGTTGGCAGAGTCGTCACACCTATATAGTAAACGCTCCTCCCCCCCCCCCCCCCTGCAACATCCCTGCCCAAATCAGCGCCTTAGCCTTTGCGCTGTTTCACTTTTTGCAGTTTGAGCGTCACATGGCAATCAGTGCCTGTCAAACTGCGTGACTCACAAAACTGTTGTGTGCACAGCAATCAGAAAAGAAGCAAAACTTATAGCTCTATAATACAGTCAGAGATATATTCTGGATCTGTGTAAGATATTGTGCACAACAAATTTGCTGTCTATAGTTTTAACAAGCTACGATTTATGATTAAAAAAAAAAAAACAGGCTATCGATATCGAATCTAATCGATTTTTTTGATTAAACTCACACGACTTCAAGCTTTAAAAAATAATTCAGGAACAAATAGTTTGTTTTTCCCGAACATTTTGAGCACTACGGCATCCAAATTTTTGAAACTTAGAAATTCTATTTAAAATTCC